TAAAATTGCGATTAAAAATCGATTTCCAGGAGAACTAAGCATCTCATCATATATTTAAATCGATAAAAATATTAAATAATAGTTGAATAGTATAACAACGTGAAATTATGGCTGAATCTACAGAAAAAATGAACATATTTGACATTTTTGAAAATTCATACGTTAGATGGTGACAGACTCATAAACTATACTTTAGCTAAGATTGATATATGGTTTCAACAACACATGGTTAAAATTGTAAAAATATTTTAGATTTCAAAAAGTATATATGGTAATATAATGGAACAAAGTCAACAAATAGCATGTTAAATATGTTATAATTAACTTTTTATTAGATCCAATAGTAGATATCGAATGGTTTCCAGCTTTATGGTTAAATATTTTCTTTTCGAGCTTCTCTTTAACTGTTGTATTAAGGTTGTAAATTTTTGATGCTAGAAACTATGGAATCTTCTTTGCTGCTGCATTTTTCTTGAGAGTTCTTGCAATTTCGAATAGATCTGCGCATTGTATGAAATTGAGGCTTTAAAATATCTTGAAAACAGAATAGGACTGCTTTTCCAAAGGAATGCTTACTTGTAAATCAGAGAGTTTCAAAATTGAGAGCAAGATTATCATCATAACTTTCGATTTTGCTGCGAAAAAGGAAGACAAGTAATTAACAAATCATTTACTGTTGTTCATCAAAAGAAGAAAACTTTGATAACAACTAATGATGATAAAATCAAGCTATCTTTTAATATTTTAAATTGATAAGACATTCAAAATATTTGAATGGTTTAAAATATTTTCTTTTAATTTCTATAAGATATTATCATGATTATATAATAAAATTTAAATTTTTATTCAAAAAGGCAATATTTCAAACTTTTAATTTCAAAAATCTTAATTCTGCAATAAGTGTATTTAATTGTAGCAAATTTAATGATCCTTCGTCATGCTTAGCAATTTGGAACTCATAAATTAATGATTTCTTCAAGTAAAATTCTGCATTATTTCAAAAGTCAATAATTCTCTAGTAACTTTTCTTCAAACCCTAACCATTATATTATATGTATAATGGAGAATAATTGCAAAGAAAGATAGCCGAATTTACTGGGTAGTTCTTGTGATGCGAAATAATTGCAAATTAACACATAGTTTTAACAGCATCAATCTCTTTTTGCTCTCATTTAAATGCATTCGCACACTTTAATTTTGAAATATAAGAGTTTTGGAAATTATCAAATTTATCTGCTCAAATACTATAGATCTTCATAAGTGTTAATAGAATCACCAGCCTTACATATAGTGTTTAATATAATGATGCACATCATACTGGGATTTATTCCTTATTCATCTAGTTATTATAAGATTTACAACCCCATGAAAATTTAAAATTTTGTCAAAAATAGTGAATGTACCTTTTTTCTAACACAACTATCAATAAATTGTAATATCATTAAACTATATATTAATATGAATTTTTATAGAAAAGCTTTATTTTTTTCTCAATTTTTAATTTCATTTCAGTCTCTAAACTTTCTTACTATGTAAAAACGTATTATTATAGTAATAAAATAAAATACATGTTTATTCGATCTCGTATTTCAAAAAAATAAAATTACTTATATAAAAAGATTTTCTTTAGTCAACTTTCTTTTTGAATCTCTAATAAGTTTTTACTGTTGCTTCTATATATTAAGTATTGATTCTTGTAGTAAAGAAAATCCGGAACGTTTATTTATTAGAATACTCGAACTTTGACTTACATATTACTAATTGTAATTATTTTCAAGAGCTATTTCTATTACTCCTACTTGTTCGGCTTAAAATCTGCTATATTGTTAAGATAAACTAAGTCTAAATTTTGAACCATTTTTTGAAGTTTAAAGTGTAATACATATCGATTTTTTATCCGAATTTAAGAATTGCTTCAAAGTTTTAGCGTGAAATCGTGCATTTTTTCTAATGAAATTGTTATTATAAGATAAGCAATCTGAGTTTTTTTGAATAATATGTCACTACACATGATAGAGCGTTACGTGCTGAAAAGTTACGCTTCGTTCTGAAAGTGGTAATGAAGTTTTATTAGAATTCATCAAAAAAACGTATGAAAATAATCGTATGTCAAAATGTGAGCACTTCTCAAAATTTGCTCACATTTTGACTATTTTTGTGAGATCTTCCTCACAATTTTTTGACAAACGTACAAAAAAGTGCCAAAATGTGAGCAAATGTGAGCAATTTTTATATCTCATTAATTATCGTCTCTCGAGGAATAGTCACAGAGACCTTTTTTCAGGTGACCTTTAAGAAGTTTCCGAAAGAGTTTATGCTCATATAACCTAATTTCCAGGTAAATAGGGTGTATTGTTCTACTAAAAGTTTAGTTGCATACTGGCCTCGTTTCCTAAGAAACTTAATCAATAAGCTATCTCAATAAGCCTTGACCAACAGGAATAGGATAAAGGAATATGCAATACTGAACTACCGTAATCTTAAAGCAATAACTGATAGACGCAAGCTCATCACTACTTGTTTGGTTGTTCAACGAATCTTTTTATATCACAGTACACTACGCGTATCTCATACCTCCATCCAATAGATAATTTACTCATAATTACATTTGAAACCCAAAAGTTGACATTTTTTTGAAAATATTATTCAGATTCAACGAAAACTTTCATTCATGATACATGCATATAAAATCTTCCAAGATATGATTACTTATCTTAACAAAAAATATCATTCTTTTTCTATATTTTGAACAAATTTATGCAACCATCATGATTTTCGTCCAGCAATCAAGTCTCATACCTCTATGTATATATGAAATCATATTTTCTCCGTAGAATGCTACATATTTATATTTTTCCTAAATTTTAATTTTTTTACTTCTTTTTAATTTCCTTTTATTAGTGGCACACTATCCTCCAAGATGGATTTTCATATATTTTTGAATGTATGAGCCTCCCCAAAATTTCAAACCGCAAAATTGATTAACATTTTGCAAATATATTGAGTGGGGGACAAACTCGCCCATTGTCACTTTTTCATTAACCTTAAACTTGTAATTTTCATTATTTTTAATTAACCTTATTTCTTTCCCAATTCCTGATTTATTTTATTCACTTACTATTAAAAGTCACATTTTAATAAAATATAATAATTTATTTATAGCATTTTTTACTATACTGTAATAAAAAATTAATTATAATAAATTAAATGTTTATTAAATCAAATGTTTTCTTTGCAATAATATTTTTAATGTTGAGTAAACAATGTTGGGATCAAGTGTATCATTTTTCAGACCTTTCTGAACAGCTTCAAGCATACTGATGCATTCGACTTTTTTAAATTGTATCATTTCTTCGAAATCTCTTGTGACTTTTTTTGATAACTTTAACACTTCTCTCTGATTCCAGACCTTTAATTTGCAAACTTAATCAGGAATGAAGGAACAACACTGGAATATAACTCGATGACAAGTTCATCGAGTCGAAGATTTGGTTGTACACCACTTGTATGTGCCGGATACCATTGTGTCAAATTTTTTCTGAAATTAACTTTAAAAGTACTAAGTAAGATCATGAGATATAGCAATATATGTTTAAACCAACTTTATGTTGTTGTGTACACCACTTGTATGTGCCGGATACCATTGTGTCAAATTTTTTCTGAAATTAACTTTAAAAGTACTAAGTAAGATCATGAGATATAGCACAATATATGTTTAAACCAACTTATATTTTGGTTGTACACCACTTGTATGTGCCGGATACCATTGTGTCAAATTTTTTCTGAAATTAACTTTAAAAGTACTAAGTAAGATCATGAGATATAGCAATATATGTTTAAACCAACTTATATTTTGGTTGTACACCACTTGTATGTGCCGGATACCATTGTGTCAAATTTTTTCTGAAATTAACTTTAAAAGTACTAAGTAAGATCATTTATTTTTGCATAATATAATGCCAATATGGTTTCTTTTGATTTTATTTCATTTATAAGCAAATCAGATTTACCCAAAAACTCCACTCCATAAGCGTTCATTTGCTAAATTAAAAAGTGACAATGGGCTAGTCTGTCCCTTTCTCAAATATATTTGTTTCAAAAATTTAAAAGGAAATATAGAGTATACTAATGATCACCAAACCATCAAATTATAACATATATTAAAATTATTGAATTATTTTAATGAATAATGGTTAATGTAAAATATTGAGGTATCGAAATGATATTCCTTTAAAAGAAGTTAAGCCAAGGGCATTTTTATTCATGAGAAAACAAAAAATGTAACATATTAGTACCAGATGATAGATAAATAGAAAAAAATTGTTAAATAACCGAGAGCTTATCATGTATTTGTGTGTTGACATTTAAAAATAGTAGATTTATCAAATCTACTGGGAAGTTTTGTTTGTTTGCTGTTCAGGAGTGTAGATCATAGAAAATTTGTCAATATCTTGTCAACAAGCTATGTAAATATCGTGAATAAGCTTAAAATAGTAAAATACCTATGTGTTCTCTATCATTTTGCAATTTATGAATGCACAAGTAGGAAACCTGTCATTTCTGATTACAAAAATGACTTTTTCTCGAAAATGGCCCGATAAATTGGGCTCCATTTCAAAATATGTTAAAGTATATTGGTAAGCAAAGAATCCTGTTATATCTGTGGGCAATTTTTTATGTGAAAAGTATTAGATGTGAAATATTAAATTTTAACATACTACTTTCGAAGGTTAGATAATGACAAAAGCGAGTCAAATGATGAATGGAATCAAAATTCCTTGAAAACAACGATAGTAATTTTTAATTGAAGATATGAGGAACTAAATCATAGCTAATTGTCAAATAAAACAAATAACATCATTATTCTAGGACTCGTTCAATATTCCCCCTTAAATCTTTAGCATTATATTCATCTGAGAGGCTATTCAAATGAAAACAAGTACCACAAGATCTTTTCAAAAAATTGCGAAATAACGTATTTTTTGCTGGTCTACCTTTTAATGTCCGACCCAGACATTCACCCAAATAAATACAGCGAGCTGCGAAATATTTGCAAACACTACATTGATTCATATATTGCGTTGTATCAGCTGAAAACGGACAAAGAAGAAGATTTAAATTCAATTTACAGACTGGTCAAAACAGAATTGATTGATTCAAATAAATATCCTCCCCAAATAATTATGCAAGACATTTTACGTATCATTCTGTATAATAATCGCTATACAAAGTCATATTTATATCTTGCCAAACTCATATCTGATGATTACCATGTCACTGAGGTCAGGAGTGCTCCATATATTTCAAGATTTCTATTTTATAAAGAATATGGAATTAAATTAGACAAATCTGATGATTTCGAAACAATTAACTCAGAAAATCTTGATATTCATACAGAAGATACAATTTACAGAGCAATTATGTATAATGACTTAGAAAGATTCATTGCATTCACTGAAAGAGATGGATTTGATAAAGATCAAACACTAAAAAGCAAATTATATCCATATTATTACGAAGGATATTCATTACTTGAATTATGTTGTTACCATGGAGCAGTTGATTGTTTCAAGTTCTTAAGAACGAAATTTGAATCAAAAATTACTCAAACTTGTCTAGAATTTTCATTTTTCGGAGGAAATCCAGAGATCATGAGCGAATGTTTGAAATATCAAAAACCAAATAAAGAATGCATGGAATATGCAATTATTTCTCACAACATTGATTTTGTTACATTCTTGATGTATGAGTACAATTTAGAGATCGGTTTATTTTATTGTGCACAGTATAATAATCTTGAATCATTTTTAGTTTATTTCGATCAAACTAATGATGTTGATAGATGCTTATTTTATTCAGCAATGTTTATAATTCCATCTCTTTATGAATATTTCCTATCAAAGGGTGCAAATATCAATGAAAAAGATAAAAATGGAGAAACCGCTCTTCATATTGCAGTGCGTCATAATAGTAAAGAAGCAGCCGAACTTCTTATTTCACATGGTGCAAACATTAATGAAAAAGATGAATATGGAGAAACCGCTCTTCATATTGCAGCGCGTCATAATAGTAAAGAAATAGCCAAACTTCTTATTTCACATGGTGCAAATATTAATGAAAAAGATAAATATGGAAAAATAGCTCTTCATATTGCAGCAATGTTCAATAGTAAAGAAGCAGCCGAACTTCTTATTTCACATGGTGCAAATATTAATGAAAAAGATAAATATGGAGAAACTGCTCTTCGTATTGCAGCAATTGGTAATAGCAAAGAAACAACTGAACTTCTTATTTCACATGGTGCAAATATCAATGAAAAAATAATGATGGAGAAACCGCTCTTCATATTGCAGTGCGTCATAATAGTAAAGAAACTGCAGAAGTTCTTATTTCACATGGTGCAAATATTAATGAAAAAGATGAATATGGGAAAATAGCTCTTCATATTGCAGCATTAAATAATTGCAAAGAAATAGCCAAACTTCTTATTTCACATGGTGCAAACATCAATGAAAAAGATAATGATGGAAAAACCGCTCTTCATATTGCAGCGCGTCATAACAATAAAGAAATAGCCGAACTTCTTATTTCACATGGTATAAATATCAATGAAAAAAATGATGATAAAAAACCGCTCTTCATATTGCAGCGCGTCATAACAATAAAGAAATAGCCGAACTTCTTATTTCACATGGTATAAATATCAATGAAAAAGATATATTTGGATTAACCGCTCTTCAAATTGCTACAAAAAAAAAGGAAAGACGAAACAGCTAAACTTATTATGGGTTCTCAATAAAGTGTTGAAGAGTATAATTGACTTTGCCACGCAAATCAAATCATACCATATAGAAAAATGGTTTATTGATATCACCATAATATTGCAGCCGAATAATATCTTAATAACGTAGCCGATTCAAATAACTATGATATAGTATTAAAAGCGATGACAATATAATAAATGGTAATAAACATCGAGATTCAATATGAGATTTTTCAAATACATAGAGATTTAAAAAATATCTTGAGCTAAATCGAATTAACATAGCATAATAGTTAAAAGACTAACTCTAATAAGTAATAACATATGTAGAGTAAAAATTTTCTTTATAAGTTTTGATTCCAACTGCATTCGTTTATGCATTAATTGTTGTTTTCTTCTTCATTTGATTTCACGATTTATTATTAATATTATCCAGAATAATAAATCTCTTATCTGCTATAACGAATGAATTGTTGAACACTTTTGCAAATTCCTCGAACACATTTATCCCCTTGGAAATGATTTAGGTGCGTTTATATGTATATTATCATTGTATTAAAATAATATCAACAGGACATAATATATTAATCTTTCTATATGCATTTTAAACTATTATATATCAATGATAACATTATCAATGATAACATTATCAATGATAGCTTTTCTGCTTGTTTGGAAATTCTTGGTTAACGAAAGCCAAAAATTATTTAAAAAAACACTACATAAATACGAAAATCAAATGTTTATCTTGCCATCTAAATTTTGAACATTAACGATAGCCTTCGCTTGGCCGGACAGTGGACCCTAAACAAATTTTTTTATATGAGTAAAATGTCAAAACTTAGTGATTAATTTTACTGGCGAGGAAAGAATATTTAAAAAGTTAGTCGCAGCATCCGCCTTTATTCTGCTTATTTTCAGCAAGTTGAGTAAGATCGACAGATTGGATCTTCGTGCACATTGGCTGGATTTTGTTGTATAAAATTATCAAATAATCATAATTAAAAAGATTATTTAATTTCAGATAATATTTTATTGTAAGGTTGAGTGCATCTTCCACCAACCCAAATTCAATGAAAATTGAAAGGAGTTTTGACAGCAGCAATTCAAAAGTAAAGGTTTTAAAAATAAAACGAATGGATGATAAAGATGAATCAACGGTATTAAAATATATTAGCGAAATAGTAGGTCATCCTTCAAAGGAGAGAAGAGCAGAGTCAATTGTGTCACTTACAGAATATCTTGAAAATATCAAGGCAAACATCCTTCAAGAGAAACAAAAAACAGTAAATTACAAAACAGTTGATCCTTCTATATATGATGACAGAGCTTTTATGAGTCTAATTATATTAACTTACTTTGGCAAAGTATATGAAAAAGAATTTGTCGAAAAATATGAACATTTCACTGAACCAATCATCAATTCAGCTAAAATCCTTATAAACAAACTGAAGAAAGACGCTACTCTCCTTGTTGATTACGAACAATTTATATCTGACAACAATAATATTGTTTCAGCAAACAAAGAACTTAATGAACTTAAATTTTATCTTAAATCAATCATTGCTAAGATAGAGTACATGATTTCTTTAAATCAAATTTCATTTTTAAACGATGGACTTGAAAATTCACTCGCATCAGCATTTTACAAATTCGACAATAATCTAAAGTACATTGAGCATTATCCTCTTGATAAAGCGTTGTCGTTTTATCTTCATCATTCGGCTTTTAAAAATATGTTAGGACCAATTTGCACAGTTGTTGCAGAGGGAAATGTCAAATCAGCACTTATATCTCTTTCAGAACTTACAGAAGCAATATTCAACGAGATGAGTAATCATCAACTCATTGGCAAAATTATTTTATATATTTCAATTGTTCGCATTGTATTTGAGGAGAGTTACATTAAATTTTCTGAGTTGAACAAATATAAAAAGGCAAATGGTGAATTTATGGAAAAATGTCAAGAGATGTCAAGCAAATCTATTGGAGAACTATCTAACATTCTTCCCAGATCAGTAACTGATTACTATCCATCTGAAATGTCCCTTAAATCAATATTTGTTAAAAATAATATCAAATTATTAACTGAATTTGAGTATATGTTCAGTCCGATTGATCTCATAGTTCATATATACCAAGCCTGCAATGAGTTAAAGGTGTTTTTCTCTTCAAATTCACCAATAATCGCAGATAAAGAATTAAATGTGTTACTTTTAGGTCTTTTAGCATCATCTCCGCCATCAAACGCTATTGCAATTGCAAAATTTGTTTCCCATTGGAGAGATTTCGCTTTGAAACCAGAAACACAGCCATATATTGATAATTTCATTGCAGCTGTGAATATTTTATATCCTTTGGATGGTAATCTCGATGATATTTGAATAAAACTGTTTGTATTTAATGATAAAATACTTTCTTTTTATAAATTTTTTGGTGAGAATTCTAAAAAAAAAAATAAATGAAATTTAATAAAATAGATTAATCTTTATTTACTAGTGCGAGATACAGAAAACTTACTGGGTTTGCTGGATCTTCTTGTAGCCCTCGTAACGTGTCTTCATATCGTTGATAAGAAGTGGGAACTTAGTCTCAGCCTCCTTTGGATAGATATCCTTAAGAGCAGCGAATCTGTTTTCGCCCTTGACAAGTGGGTCGAGGTTGTAGTTTGGCTGCTTTGTATCGACTGTGAGTGGTTTGTCCTTGGATGGGTTGTAACGGAAGAGGTTGAGGTAACCTGTCTTGAGGAGATCCTTGCAGTGCTTTGGTGTTGAGCCAAGTCCCTTCTTGATACCGTGGTTGATGCAAGGAGAGTAGTTGATGATGATAGCTGGGCCGTTGTACTCCTTAGCCTCCTGGAGAGCCTTGAGAGCCTGGTTTGGATCAGCAAGTAAGCATGTTGAGGCGACATAGATGTTCTTGTATGTCATAGCGATGGCGCCGAGATCCTTCTTAGCATTTGTGTAACCAGCAGCAGAGAAGTTAGCGACAGCACCACGAGATGTAGCCTTAGAGCATTGGCCACCAGTGTTGGAGTAAACTTCTGTATCGTAGATGATGATCTTGACGTTTTCGCCAGAAGCAAGAACGTGATCAAGGCCACCATAGCCGATATCGTAAGCCCAACCATCACCACCGACGATCCAGACTTGCTTCTTGGCAAGGATGTCAGCCTGTGACTTGAGGTCGAAGAGCTTCTCGGATGGGTTCTGAACCTTAGCGAGGAGTGGCTTGATCTTCTCAGCGAGATCGCCGGATTCCTTATCCTGATCCCAAACCTTGAGGAGTTGCTCGAAGAGATCCTTGAGCTCGCCCTTGACTTCACCGGATTCGATGACATCGACGATGAGGCGCTTTGTGATGTTACGGCGGGCTTCGACAGCCTTGAACATACCGTAGCCGAATTCAGCGTTATCTTCGAAGAGGGAGTTAGCCCAAGCTGGACCGTGTCCGCGCTCGTTTGTTGTGTATGGATTGAATGGGAATGTAGCACCCCAAACGAGAGAGCAGCCTGTAGCGTTAGCGAGGTAGAGCTGGTCACCATAGAGCTGTGTAAGGAGCTTGCAGATAGCTGTTTCATCCCTGGCAAGCACCGTTGAATTCGATGAGTGGCTGGCGGAACTGAACGTTGCGAACGTTTGTAGCTGGAACAAGGTGTCCACGGTTTGGAATAGCTGTAAGGCGTTCCCAGTTCTTGCCCTCTTCCTCGTCGATCTTAGCGTTACGGTATGTCATAGAGAGAGCCTTTGTTGGGCAGGATGTGACGCATGTGCCGCAGCCTGTGCAGTCGAGTGGTGTGATCTGGATTCTGAACTGGTAGTCCTTGATCTCCTTGCCCTTAGCCTTGAGTGTTGTAAGGCCCTGGACTTCTTCTGGCTTGAGAAGGAATGGGCGGATGACAGCGTGTGGGCAGACGATGGCGCAGGTGTTGCACTGAATGCACTTCTTTTCGTCCCACTTTGGAACTGTGACGGCGATACCACGCTTCTCGAACTTGGCTGTGTCGTTTGGAACGAGGCCGATTTCGACCATCTCATCGACAGAGACGGACTCACCCTCCTGAAGGATGGACATATCGATGATGTGGCGGATACCCTCGTGCTTTGGTCTTGGTTCGACTGGAGCGTTGAGCCATTCAGCCTTGTTGTACTTGAACTCCTTGAGGCCCTGGAGAGCATGGTCAACCATGTCCCAGTTCTTCTGGATGACTTCCTTACCCTTGCGAGCGTACTGCTTAGCAATGGACTTCTTAAGGAGAGCGATGCACTCTTCGGCCGGGATGATGTTGGCGAGGCCGAAGAAGACTGTCTGCATAAGCATGTTGATACGGCCTGGGAGCTTGAGGTCGATAGCGATCTGTGTAGCATCGATTGTGTAAAGCTTAGCATCCTTCTCAGCGATTGAGCGGCGGAATGATCCTGGAAGGTCCTTGTTGAGATCAAGGTTGCCTGGGAAGTTGATGACGAAGACACCACCCTGCTTGAGTTGCTTTGTCATGTCGAACTTGTGGAGATATGATGGGTTGTGGCAAGCGATATAATCGGCGTTCTGGACGTAGTATGGAGCGTTGATTGGCTTGGCACCGAAACGAAGGTGGGATGTTGTGACACCTCCGGACTTGTGGGCATCGTAAGCGAAGTAAGCCTGGCCGTAAAGCTTTGTGTTGGAAACGATAAGCTTGATAGCCTGCTTGTTAGCACCGACTGTACCATCAGAGCCGAGACCCCAGAACATGCACTGCTTTGTGCCTTCTGGAAGGTGGTCGAATGGCTTGCCGAGTGGAAGAGCTGTTTCTGGGTTGACAACACCAACTGTGAAGTGGTCCTTTGGAATCTGAGAAACAAGGTTCTTGACGATGGCTTCGACATGGACTGGAGCGAAGTCGCGGGATGAGATACCGTAGCGGCCACCGATGATCTTGACGTTGCGCTGGCCAATGATGGAAGCAGCAACATCTTCGAAGAGTGGTTCACGTGGGCCTGTTGGATCGACAACCTTGTCGAGAACGCAGATACGCTTGACGGAGGCTGGGATGGCAGCGTTGAACATCTCAACAGAGAATGGGCGGTAAAGATGTATCTTGATGAGACCTGTCTTGTACTCTGGGTGCTCTGTGATGTATTCTTCGACTGGATCGCAGCCAGAACCCATCATGATGATGACGTTTTCTGGGTCACGTGGGCCAGCGTACTGGTATGGCTTGTAGTAACGGCCTGTCTTGTCGCCGAGAGCCTTCATCATCTTCTCGACCTCAGCTGGGAGAGCCTGGTATGGCTTGCGAAGCTTTTCGTGCATCTGCCAGACATATTCTGGGCCGCAGATTGTGCCGCGCTCAGATGGGTGTTCTGGGTTAAGAGAACGAGCACGGAAGGCAGCGAGAGCCTGTTGATCGATAAGTGGCCAAAGTGTTTCGTTATCGAGTTCTTCGTATGTGTTGATTTCGTGGGATGTACGGAAGCCATCGAATGTGTGGATGAATGGAAGACCTGTGTGGATGGATGTTAAGTGAGCGACAGCAGCGAGATCGTGAGCTTCCTGGACACCATTTGAGAAAAGAATTGGGATGCCTGTGGCACGACAAGCGTAGATATCACCGTGATCGTTGTAGATGGAAAGAGCAGATGTAGCAATGCAACGAGCAGAGATGTGGAAGACAGCTGGGCACATTTCACCAACAATCTTGTACATATCTGGGATCATAAGGAGAGCACCTTGTGAAGCTGTGAATGTAGCGCAAAGGGCACCAACTGCTGTAGCACCGTGAACAGCGGCAGCAGCACCACCTTCAGATTGCATCATAGCCATGTTGACTTTGTTGCCCCAGATGTTCTTACGACCCTGGGCGATCCAAGCATCAACTAATTCACCCATTGTTGTAGCTGGTGTGATTGGGTAGATGAAGGATGTTTCTGTAAGCTGGTATGCGACAGAAGTAGCGGCTGTATTGCCATCTCCTGGAACTCTCTTGCCGAAATTGCGAAGCATTCGAGATAAAAAATGAAGTGACAAAGGTCGATCGAAACTGATACAAATTCAATAAAAACGATATACAATTAATTCATGAAAAGTGCTATCAAATAAAGACGAAAGTTCATTGAAAAATTGAAAGGTAGATAGCGATTTGTGAAGAATTGATTAGATTGAAAGCAAATTGGCCATGGATGACCTTTTAACATTCTATTTACATTGCTATCAAACTACTGAATGGATTGTTTTGCATTTTTTTCTCTTCGGTTCCGTCGTTTTTTTTCTGAGCTGCACTCCATCATAGCCTTTCACCACTACAGGTTGATATTGGACCTATAAAAACTGAAAATATCTTTGGTACATGAGCATACATTTCGAGAACTACTATATTATCGGTCTTCACACTGATTTATAATGATATATTTTTATTATTACTTGAAATTTAGGATTTATAGGACAAAATTAGTTGAACACAAATTTGGTGCAATTGCTTAATACATATCATAGTTCTTTTTTATATTATTTCAATGGCCCATTTTGATTTTAAATTGTCTTTTAAAATATTCGTTCATATCCAAATTCTCTATATAAATTCACAAATGATGTTTGCTTCATATTAATTTCCACTGAATATTTTTACTCCAAAAGCCTCAATATTCTTTTGAATATTGCCTCCCTATAAATTTTCAAAATTCGCTATTCATTACTAATAGTATAGTTGGTAACAAAGATATTTCCATAAATAACATGTTTTGTTTTTCTCTTTGTGAGAGAATCCTCAAATACATTCAATGACTAGTTTCCCAATGGGCCATTATTAATGTGAAAAGCATGTGTTCTTTGTAATGGATATGGTGCGCTTCTAACTTTAGTTTTTGAAAGAGCCCAAATCCATATGAAAAAGAATCATAAATCAATTTACTATTTCAAATTGAAAACCTGCTTATAACCAGTATAAATAAAGGGGAAAAAATGAAATATTATTGAATTTAAATAGATACTAACATATATTTTACAATAAATTACAAATACAAACAAATTAGAGAGCTAAAGTTCTGTGTAACTTCTCGAGAATACATGGGAAAGAGAATTTTTCTGAAATTTCACTTTCCATCTCGAGATCTTTATGAATGTCAATAATAGGTAATTGGAAATCCAAGAAACCTGCAACTGGTGTTCTAAGAGATTCAATGTCGTCTTCTGATTTCCTTCTAAACATTGATTGGTTAAATATGGATTGTTTAACCGGATTTTGTTGGTCGTTTTCTTTCTCTACACCATTAAGGAAATCATGTAATGATGAAGCTTTTCGTTTTTTCGATTTGCTAATTAACCTCTTAGATTTGGTCTTTTGTGTTACGTTTTTACGAACTGAAGATGATTCTGTTTTGCTTTTTCCTTCATTTACTGATGTTTGGCGACTGGATTTATGGGATGTACTTTTTACAGAATCTGATACTGCGTTTTTAATCAAAGAATTAGGAACATTTAAATCGTTTGTTATTTCATCTGTCGAATTTGAAAGACTAATATCAGAAACAGTTCTTCGAGAATGTTTCGACATCAATTTCTTGTCAGATAAAAGGGCTTTATCAAGATTGTTATGTGATGATGATCTGATCATTGATTTTTCGGTGGATTTAAGATCAGAACTCGTTCTTTTCTTGGAGTGTGATTTTGTTTTGTTTAATGATGACTTCCTTTTAGTTGCTGTATGCTTTGAATCGGATGATGAAGATCGAGAAGATTCATCTTCATCACTGCATGATGATCTTTTCTTCCGATGGACTTCACTCATTTTATATTTTAAAACGCGGTAGGCTCATTGAATTAACATTTTTGAGAAATTCATTGAATTTTTTCAATATGTTTTTCCTCATGATGAAGAATATCATTTAGATATTGTGAGATTACTATTTTTATTGGAGAAACCAAACAATAAAATTTTGTCTCAATTAAAACGATATGAAAATTTTCGGATAGAATTAATCATAAACATATAGATTATATTATATAATCAAAAATAGGATATCTTTTCAAATTGTTGATATTTGAAAGGTAATTCAAATGTTTATTTGTCTATTTTTTGGATATTTAACATTATTAAAAGTAATATGAAGACATGAAAATTGACTGATAAACAGTGCCAAATATAATTTTAAGCTAAAAAATTAATTTCAAATGTAATAGCATGAAATTAATCGAAATTGATGTATTTAAAAATTCAATTTATTCAATTTCAGGTTTCAATTTTTTGAGAATTGAATAACAAGGACATGAAATTATTGTGCAGAATCTATTTTATGATAAATATATATATTTTGATTTTACGATCAAATTTTCTTTAACCGCAAGCCAACAACCCAATTTTTTAATAAATATAAGCTCTTCTTCTAATATTTATGAAAATGCATTATATAAAATTCTTTTAACTTCTCTTTTTTTATAAAAATTTGTGATTTGATTAGAATTATCGAAATTTTTTCCAAGAAAAATTTATTTTTCATTTTTTCATTTCATTTTCTATGCTTCCAAGTCTGATATTTTATGATTCGAAATTTTTTTGGAAAAATTTTCCATCGTGAAATGATTCTACATCTCACACATTGTAGATAGAGATCTAACATCTAGCATTTTATCCATCAAATACCAAATTGAGTTTAATAAATCTTAATTTTTCTCTTCATACGTAGTTGAAACAACTTTATAACGTAAAATTACAGAAAGAAAAATCAAGAGTGCTCGATATTTCTCAGATTTTCTTCATCAAAATTCAATTTTACCATTTAATTCTCAAACCAAACACATTTGATAAACATGATACATATCACTTAATAGAGAAAGCATATCATTCGACTCTACTTGAGTTTAATTACATTTTAATGACATTATTACAAATTTTGCGCTGTTTTATTCAACATAGACTAAAACAAAATAGAAAGTTTTACAAAGCTTAATGAAGATAGTAGTTTATTCTATACAGGAGAATAAATATTTGAAAATGAGAAAATATATATTTTTTGTTTTGTTTGTAATTTCATAAAATGGAGTGACAACCTTGAGCAAAAGGTATAGTGTGTTGTAAAGCTCTATATATTTTTTTGCTGAAAGTTCAAACCTCTAAATCTTCCAAATATACGTTTATAAAATTTTTTTTAGAATGAATTCTGCTCGAACTCAAAATTTTGGTAAAATTGATTCATATAGACCTACTTCAGACTTGGCTGTTGGAAGAGTTCCATATATTGGAGAGCTTCCAATGTCATATTCTTCAAAACAACAAAATTATAATGAAGATGATTTCAATTTTAACTACCCTCCAACATCAGATGTTAGAGGAACACCAAGATCAGCTACATCAACAAGTTCATCTAGACCATCAACAGCAAGACCATGCGAAAAATACAATAAAATACACGAAAATGATGATGTTTTCTTGAGAGCTCAAATGAAATTGAGAGCTCATGATGAAAATACATCTAGAAGAAAGAAATTTATGCATGATGAATATGAGCAAAATGTTTTGAATCCTATTGATAACAAATATCGCGCTCAGCTAACAGGAAGAAGGTACGAATCAAGAGCAGAATCGAAACTTCGAGCTGCTTCCCAACTTAATTCAGCTCCAATACGTAATCTTCAAATTAATACAACTGGTTGCGAAGACAGACTCATGCACTCAAGATTAAACTCAAGACAAGAATCGAGACTTGAAAAGTTCCTTACACAAGCTAATCAAGAAGAAAAGAAACCAGAAAAGAAAGTTTTTGAGATGGATCCGAAGAGAAAAGCAGACACACGATTCTTTACATACGAAATTACTAAAAAGAAAGGAACGCGATTCTATCCAGATAAGTTTGCTTCAAGGGTTGCTGAAAATATTAATCAATTTCCAGAGTAATCGTTTTTCAAGCAACATTATAATTCTATTTACTATGTTTTCAAAGATAAGCCCCTTCTAAAGTATCTTTTGTTTGTTATTGTTTAAAATTTGTTTTCATATTTTAATTTATTTTGATATTTCCACTGATATTAACTATGCAATTCTTTTCCAATGAAATTATGAGATTTAAGTTTGAAATCATTACATAATGTTATTGATCATGGTTTCCAAAATAGCTTCATTTATGTTAATGAAACTTCAATGAAAGTATAGAACTGCATAAACATAATTATATGATTTAGCATGAAAAAATACAAACAAATTTTTTATTTCAAATCTGGAAGTATAGATGATGAAGTCTTTGTAGAAGGTTGAACTTCAAATGATCTTATCCAAGGGTGTTGAAGTGCTTCTGCAGCTGTCATTCTCATTCTTTGATCCCAAGTTAATAATTTCATTATAAAGTCAACAAGTCTCATATCGTCAGTCTTGAGAACTTGAGCAAGGTCCATTGAGTTAGGCATATATTCTTTTTTAGTTTGTTCCTTTAAAAGTCTCAAACTTTTATCAAAAAATTCTTCTCTTCTTTTACCGATAACAACTAATTCTCTAGGAGGCATTCCAATGAGCTGTGATATCATCCATAACTGTTCTTCTTCGTTCTGACCCGGAAACAGTGGAGTTCCAGTTAATAATTCAACAATAATTAAAGCAAAACTCCACATATCCATTGGAGGACCGTATTTTATACCAAGCATGACTTCAGGGGCTCTATAGTATCTACTTTGAATATACTCATACATTTGATGATCAACAAAACAACTGGAACCAAAGTCAATAAGCTTAACCGATGTTGAATGCTCTTTAACTAAAAGAACATTTTCTGGTTTCAAGTCACAATGTACGATTCCAAGCTTATGAGATTGTTCCAAAGCTGTTAATATCTGAACTGCATAAAGACGAACCAATTTTGGCGACATTGGCTCGAAGTTTGAGGCTTCGATTACTTCGTAAAGGTTCTTTGACAATATTTCAAACGTAATGCAAATATGAGATCTAAAAATGAAGAAATCGTTTGCTTTAACAACGTTTTTGACTTCATTTTTGTTTAGGCGGGCAAGAATCTGTGCTTCAATACGTCCTTGCTCATGCATTTGCTCTGTGTTTACGATGATTTTTATGGCAACACACTGCATTGTCTTATGATCATAACATTTTGCTACTTGTCCAAAAGCACCAGCGCCAAATAGTGCAAGAATCTCGAATCTGTAAGCTAAATGATCTCCTGCAATTAAGTTATAATTGTGTGATTCGTTATCGTAGCCATAGTTATTTTCATCATTAAAGTCAGGAATGATCTTTCTGTTGCGTTTGCCGACAAAGTATATCTCAGGGAAGCTTGTTATTTCTTGAATTTCAAACTCATTTAAGAAGTGTTTATATCTGACAAGGGCTTCGCCAGGAGTAATGGGTGCTCCTTTAACAACTGGTGATAATTCTAGAGGAGCTCTGTTTCTTGCTGATTGATTTTTGAATCTTGGATTTTGATAAATTCTATTTTGAGGGGGATGGACTTGTTTTCTTGCGGTTTTATAACCTGCATTTCGACGAGAATATTGGTATGGCTGGGATGGAGCTTGTACTTTAAAAGTTGGCTCCATTTGCGCCATATATTTTATGTAAGTTTTTTTTCGTTAGTAATCAATATTCGTATAAGATTTTACTTCAAAAAGTATCAATTTATAAATCTCACATTCAGAAAATCAGTTTTGTAGCATTAAATCTTTATAATACTGTTTTCTAAGTTGATTCTGAAATTCATGCTGAGAAATTAGTTTTTTTAACCATATTATCTCTTTAAAAATTGATTTATTTAAGAAGTTAATTACAAGTATTCTCTAAAGATATACACTTTCTGATTTCCCACTCAAAAATAAAAAATGCTTCTTCTTTTTCTCATCCAAACATGGTTTGATTTTAATCGAACCGCATTTTACCAACTACTTTCAACAAGCTTTGATAAACCTATATTTAATTTGTGTTACTCCCATTATTGTCCACATTGTGTTGGACTTCCAGAAGGTTTCTCAAATTTTAACAAAACACTTGGCGATAGAGATGATATATACATTTCAATGATAGATTGTGCCGAAAGCCATGATTGTGGAATCTTTAGAATCCATGGAACACCAACAATTTCACTTGTTATGGGATACAACGTAAGATACTGGCCACGTACAGGCGAAAGAGGACCGAATGGATGGACTCGTTTTATAAATAGTTGGATTTATCCAAGTTTACGTCGAATTTATAACGAAACCGAATTTAATCAAGCACTTGAAGAACCAGCAGACGGAGGAACAACATTTTATTTAGAAACACCTAGCGAAAATCATTCATGGGTTAGAATTATGAACTATTTTTCCCTTGAATACAAAATTTACAATGATACTTTCGTATATAAGGTTAATCCAAATATATCAAAGCCAGTCATTTACGCATACAAAAGCAAGTACTGCTATGAAAAATATTCAGGCATAAAATTCGGAATTCCATTATTCCTCCATAAAAATAAATTCGGAATATATCATCGATACGATCGCTATGAATTCGAAGGCCTCTTAGGAGGACGAAGAAGGAACGCCATATATATCGTAGAAAAAGATTTATTGAAATCTAACCGCGATGCGTTAGCAGAATTATCAAAAGATTACTGCCATGGATACAACATTGGATGGGCAAATGTTGATGATGAAGATGATCGAAATATCCTTAAATATGCAAAAATCGCAAATTCTGACTTACCTTTGCTGAAAGCAGTCAATTTCAACCCTGTTGCATTAAGAGAATACAAAGGAAGTCTTGGTGTCATTAAAAACTACCATTTCCTACCGAAAGTTATAACTTATGGAGATATCAAAGAAAAAGCACCAGGTTTATACAGGTCAATTATATTAACAGCTTCTACATGCATTATTTATGCGTTTTACGTGTTACATCTTATATTCATGAAGAAAGATTCGAAACCAAACGTTGTTGTAGGCGAATTTAATGTTTAATCTGTTTTATATTTATTTTTTTGTTAGTTTTAAATGCTCTGTTTATTATCTTTTAATATTTTTAAATAATTTTCATAGTTTAGGTATATTGATAATTCCTAACCCCATATCATTGATAATACCACATTATAGATATGTTCCCAATAGATTTTTTTATAGAAATTGAAAATTTAGATTTATTATTGATTTCTTAATTATCTATAATGTATTGAGCTAAATATGCAAAATATTGATAAATTTTCTATTTACAATTAATAATTTTATAAATACAATAAATATATTTGGTTTTCATCGAACAAATCGAATAATTATCTAAGGAGTCTCATATACTTGAGAAGAAAAATTGGTGTGATTGATTATTATGCCTACAAATTTATCTTCTATAACTTTTATTAAATACAAAACAAAAATTTACAATATAAGTTCAGGTTTTTGTAATCCAACTATATCTTAGTGGTTTTTCGATTGTTGTATCCTCATATTTAATCGAATCTTTGCCCCAAATTAGATTATACCATCTAATTATGTTGACAACGAGTTCTTTCTCTTCAGCCTCTCTGAAAAGACTAAACATGTTACCATTACGTGTCAGAATATATCTGGAATTGATATTTTCGATAATTAAATCTTGAGTTTTGAGTCTTTCAGAAATCCACATGTTTGATGGCTTATCTTCATCATCAAAATCAAGGTAATTGTAAGGAGTCAACAAATCTCCTTTTGATCCGAAAATTAACCAACCAGAGTTATCTGTTGACTCTGTTTCTAATTTCGTACATAATAGTGCTTCCAAACAATCATCGCTGTATATCGGATTTGGCTTTTCGAATACTGGGGAAATGAAAACAACCGCGATTCCGCGAGCTGGAGTTTTATTTGATGATTTTGACTTGACTTCATTACAACGTGTTCCTATGTAGTTTGAAATCTCGTTTGTAACTGTAACAATCATTGATACGCCAGCAAAAGGATGATCTCGAGAAGGAAGAATATCTGTTTTGGATTGACCTGTTAGATTCCAATTATGATCAAAAGTATTGAAGATTGAGTTGCCTGTAAAAGAAAGCCAACCTTCTGTGACATGTTGTGGGATAACAGCGCCCATATGCAAACAAATCGTGATGAGTGATGATGTATAGTGATATACATTGTTTCCTATTAAAGGATAGCCCTTGACATTTGAAAGAGCTTTGGTTATATCTTCAATTGGAATGAAAAATTCAAATGTGCATTTCTCCATTCGCTCTATTATATTTTCTTGTAGAGGTGATGTTAGTAGTATCGGTCCAATTACATTTTCGATCGTCAAAAAACTTTGATCAAGCATTTAAAAAAATTTTTTTTTGTTTTGATGTTACCCTTTATAATTTAAGGGTGCCCTATAACGATAATGTAAACATCACAAAATTAACCTTATTAGAACTCGAATGAATGGATTATCCAGATTCTAGTTCTCAATATAATAGCCTTAAAAGTGCTTTTCTGAGGGTGGTCTATCGTCTATAGGGCACCCTTAATTTGTCAGACCCTTTTTAAAATTTTTCAAATAATGGCTTCTGAACTTTCTCTGGCAATGGGTTTTGTTTTAATTCTAACAAACAGCGAAGGCAATCACCGAAACTTATTTCGACTTGTTAACAAATTCACCAACAGCTGTTGCTCAATTTTATTCAAATGATGCAAATTTATCTTGGAATGGTGAACATATTAAAGGCAAACTTGAAATACATAAATTCTTCAAAAAGCTTTCAAAGTATGTCTATCAAATTTCAACAGTTGATTCACAAATTATGAAATTAAATTATCATATTTCGATGTTAACGATATCTGGATATATGAATAGCCCGTCACAACAAAGTCAACACTTTGTTTCTACGTTTTACATCAAAAGCATCCACACAAATCAGGCTGCTGTCATTTTATCACATGATTTCATGAGCCATTGATATTTTGTTGACTCTTTGTTATTACAATAAATACTATGTTTGTTTAGAGTTATATCTTTATACTTATTTCAGAAAAAAAAGTGTTTATTTTTATATAAGAAGTTTTTATGACATTTTTAATAGAGTTTAATAAGATAAATGACATTTTTATACTTAGCGAGGAAGTTCAAATTCCTTTCCGTAAATAATTGCTTTGATATAGTAATAAATGAAATCCGCGTATAAAAGAGTTTGAATAATACCTGTAATCCACATGACGTAAGGAGTTCTGTTACGTCCAGCGTTGATTGTTTTGTAAATCCAGTTGATTATATAGAATAATCTGTAAAGTCCGAGGAAGAAGATATATTTGTGTGTCATGACATCGACTCTTTGTGTACGCTGAAGTAAGAATAATTGTGGAAGTATAGCGAAGGCCTCAGTCCAAAGAGAAAACGTCCAAGTGATCTCGATCAAGGAATATTCTCTTGTAGAGAGTGCTGTTGCGAGAACACATATCAACAGGATCCAAATGATGCGAAAACTGTCGTGTTTTTTATTGTATGTCTTATTAAATTTAGTAAGCATTAATACAATTGTAAGAAGTGTGCTTGATATATAGAAAATCTTAAAGATTATGTTGTATATTGGAGGATCGAAGAATTCACTATTAACATAGCGCGTCAAGAAAACAATTAAATAAAGAATATGTGTTTGAAGCGATATACCTGCACAAGAATGCTTTGAAAACATTTTAGATAACAACAGGATCGTAGATATCAAATGACACATATCTGCTGTGTACCGAAATATATTCCATCCGTACCACATGTCAAAATGTCAAAAGTCAATTTGGGGTCAAAAATAATAAAACAAGGGGAAATAAAAAAAGTGCAATTGATGGAAAATTATCAATGCAGGAAGAAAAGAAGCCATCCAAACCATTGAACAAGGATAACTTCTTTGGAAAGGTTAATAATGAAATGATTAATAGTTCATTTGATGAAGCACAACAAACATTGAGAAGGATTGTCGAAAGTGATCCTAAAAACGCCAAAACTATTATTGCTTCAATCTCTAAAATCATAATCGAACAGGAAATACCAGTTTCGAATACGCAATATTTAATTCAATCAGAATTAGATGATCAAGATAGAAAAGATATTATAAATAGAGTCAACAAAATATTGGGTGATAATTTTAAGGTGAAAGAATTTCGAAATTTTGCGATTAAAGCTTCACGAATCATCAATGTACCAATTACTGACCTGGTTTTAAACAAGCCATTTTTACTAGGATGGTTCAAAGATAACATCGACACCATCCAAAAAGCTAAAGAGAAAGGCTTATTTGATTAAATTAATCGGTATTTTCCTATAAATGTTTAATTTTTCTCTATTTATATCTTATAAAAAATTTACACACAATATATACATGCTCTTTATAATATAAAATAACAAATTTTCATTTTTTTTGAAATTGAAATAAAATTATAGAACAGATAACCATACACGCAATTTATATTTTTCATATTCATTGGGGAACACCTTACAAAGCATTCGTTCTTCAAATAAGATTCTTTTGTGGAAAAATATGTTCAAAAACACGATGAAAAATAGCACACCAATAATATTTTGTAGATATACCATTATTCCAATGTGAATTAGCATAAATCCACTATAACAAGGGTGTCTAATCAAAGAATAGATACCATTTGTAACCAATGAGTTATATGAATACTTTCTGCAGTTGATAGAATGTAAATAGTTTCGTTTTAGTTGCATTATTGCAATAATTCTAACTATTATTCCAATGATTATAAGTGAATAACCTGTTAAATCTGTAAAGAACGCGTATTTTGTAAGTAAACTGTCATAATATTTCCATTGTATATGACTGATTAAAAACAATACGAAATAAATAGTTATATATTTCTTAGTTAGAAGAATATCAGCTGCAGTTGTTTTAGTTGGATGAAGATATTTATGTATTAAGTATTCAGCTAAATGAAACGCAAGTAGAAAGCAAAGCATTGTAATAAACTTCACATGTAAATCATTCATTGGCAAAAAAATTATCAAAAAACGATTATTTTAGATTCAAATGCTGTTCGGCATTAGAATTAAAAATAATCATTAGTATGATAATTGCACTTTTATTGCATTTTTAACAAGATTCACGCCTTTTTAAAAACACAATAAAAGTGTAAATTTTATTGTCAATTGATCTTATCAAAGTTGTAAATGTTTGTCACTTTTCCGCGAATATTTGCTACATATCATGAATGATTGTATGTTATCTTGTTTACTATAGTTAATGTGATGGTAACAGTGAAGTATATAACTTCAACCTTATTATTATAAAAAGGAAAAAGAAATGATATATAAACAATAGAATTTTTAATATAAATGAAAAGTTAATTGATCGAATCGATCAATTTATCTAAAGAAAACAGTTCTTCCTGTTGTTGAGCGATAACAACAATAGGTTCGGATCTTTCTCCCCAAAGACATTCATCGAGAATTTTCTGAATCATCTGTGGCCTTAAAACAAGGTTTGCGTAATCTTCAGACTGAGCCAAATTGGAAAGACCAGAGTTAGGAATACTCGGAGATTTGACAATTTTACTTGGCCTTTGAGGGAGGTTTGTAGGTGTGAAAGTTACGTCAGATGATTTGTTTAAGAGAGGGAATCTCTTTGTAAACTGTTCTTTGAGATCATTAGATAGCTTCCTTTGTTCTGAGTAGTCTGAAGGTCTATCAGAACTTGAGAAACATTGTTTGAAATCGTTTTCAGGGAATAAACTGTGTCTTATCTTTGTTTTCAAAAGATAATTGCAGAAATTGAACAAAACATCTAACGAACTGTTGCTTCCATCAAAGTAAAGCTCATCAAACTTATGATCCTCGCTTTGCATAATTATTTCTAATCCTTTCGAGCCAATACTTTGGTTTGTTAGATCCAACGACTTCAGTGACTTTATCTTCATGCAGTAAGTAACAATTTGGTCGCCCAATACCAAGCTTTCGTCACTTTTACTTGCCTTTAATGATAAATCAGACAAAAGTGACAAATTTGAAAGGGAATCGAAAACTTTTTCGAGGTTATTGGCAATTAAACAGTCATCTAAACATAATTTCTTAAGTTTTGGAAAACATCCTATGAAATCTGCAAAAAGTGACATTTCCTCTTCATTCAATTTATTTTCTGAGAAAATTAATGTTTCAACTGAAGGATATTTTGCATTTTTAGACTTTTTGAAGAAGTTTATGAGGTCATCCTCGGAGATCTTCATGGCGCTGAGATCAATAAGCTTGAAGGTGTCGCTTTCTTCAACTAATTTGAAGAAAGAAACCAAAAAATTCTCTGTAATTCTACAATTAGACAATTTGAAGTCTTTTACGGTAGCTCGATTAGCTTGGAGCGCCGCCTCAACATTATTTCCGCTAATATCAAGGTATTTAAGGCCAATTTCGAAGAGTAATAACTTATCTAATAAATACGAACCGTCGATGCCCATATTCCTTACTTTTATAGTGTTTAAGCAATGCTTTTCGAGAACCCATGATGTATTGGCAAGTTCAAGTACATTTGTCGATACAAATACTGGATTATTAATTCTATCAATAGTTATGTGAGAAAGATTGTGGAAACAGTCATTGAAGAAGATTGTCTGGAAGAATGATATCATGTCTCCTGTAATGCATTGAATTATTTCAATTCCGGTAATTTCTGTTTCAAATGCTGGAATATTATCGAAAAACTTGATGAAACTTTGAGTGGTTAAGTTGCAATTGATGAAACTCCAGAATTTTGGCTTAAAAGCTCGTTTTGTTGAGAAAATTTTTGTAACCATCGAATCAGCATCTGTGAAATCAATATTTTCTAGTGTAATACGCTTAATAAATCTGTTTACACTTATTATTTTGATTGCGTCTTTGAAAAAGTCTGCTAATCGTATATTTTTGAGATGAATATGTTCGATATCTTGTTCGTAAGCGAGAGATAAGATGAGAGGCTGTGTGGCAGAACAATTGAGGAATTTGTAATCTATAAGAATCGTTTTTGATATTGAATTTTCGATGTATGTTAAAACATGTTGATTTTTTTTCTCAAAAGTAGGCATAAGATGATAAATACATGAAATAGTACGATCGAAAAATAGTGTATCAAGAGGGAACGGGCGCATTGATACGTTTTCAGGCTGAGTGATTGTAGTTATTGACAAATGAAGTGGTAATAAGTCAGTTGGAAAGAGAGATTGCCTGATCATATAGACATTCATGGCAAGCTTGTACGCTTTGTCTGATCTAATGATTATCTGTTTTGACTTACTTGAAAAAGTTAAGTTGCAATTTGACAAAAAGATCTGAGAAAGGTCATAAAAACTAATGGAATTGCAGAGATTGGACTGGAAAGCAAAGCTTTTTTGGTTTACTAAGAAGATTCCTGGTGAACCAATCACTAAAAGCCTTTTTTTCAGCGTATTACTCCGTCCGACTTTCTCAACATCTCCAACCCAGTAAATTTTGACTTTATCAATTGCGAAAATCGGAATGACTTGCTCAAGGAACTCGCGTTCCTTGCTTGACATCCAGATCTATTTTTTTCAAAGAAATCTGTCAATTTACATGTCAAAAATTGGAAAACGATAAAAAATTTTAATATTTTTATGAGAATTTTATGAGTGATTTTTAACATTTAAACCTTGACATGGACTTTTATAGAATCAAATTCGACACTAATCATCAATTCTGGACCAACAGTAAAAGGCCCACCAGAATATAATACGACTGCCGTTCATGTTATAGTTTATGGCGACGTACAAAACGTTGGATTTGAAGCATTCAGTGGATATGCTAAACTTGAAACACTTGAACTTCCTGATTCAATTATTAGCATAGACAATAGTATTATTCGAGACGCAAAAATTAAATCTTTTCATATTCCATTTAGTTTGAAAAACATTTCACCAGATGGCTCATTTGATTGGCAATTTACACTTGAGGAGTTTACAATAGATCCAAATCATCAATATTTTTCAGTTCTTGATGGCGTACTTTATGACAAGAATTTTACGACATTAATGACATATCCTTCGGCGAAAAAATCACCAATATATTCTGTCTCGTATGGTGTAACTAGTTTTTTTGGCTACTCTACGAATAATATATGTTTTTTGCAACATTTATTGATTCCTCAAACAGTTACGCAAGTTTCCAACATAATGTATGCATCACCAACTCCAAATTTACCCTATATTAATATTTCAATATTTCGATACGATAATCAAGCCGATTCAACATTTGAAAAAGGTGAGTATGCATTTGTTGGCTTTGGCAAACCAATTTACATTAATTATATTCATCAAGAATACTATTCCACTTATTATGAAGTAAATCAATCCTTATACATCTTTACAACAAATAGAAATATGTCTATTACATATACTGATACATACTTTTACAATATTTCTAATCTCAGCTCTGTTATTGTAGGAAGAGGAATAAGATACCTTTCTCACAGCTGTTTTTCTAATTCAAGCATTCTTTACATATATGACAACAAACTTCGCACACAGTACGTATGCAGATTTCCTTATTATCTTAAAAATATTTATCTTTTTCTCGGTTTGTTGGTATAAATTCCACATAAACTATATATATACATGTATACACTATAAATAGTCTTAAATTTTTCTATTGAATACAAATATGTATATCGATGATAAATGATTTAAAGTACAACGCTGGAAATCCCAAGTACAAGGTATAATTTTAATTATTGGAATGTCGCTATGATTATGATAAAAGAGCAAATATCCATCTGAATTGAAATGTCACTTTTTGAAAAAGTCTAAATTGAACTTTTTAAAATTCATCATGATTGAATGTTTTCCATGATATTTTATAGAGTTAAACATAGAGTATTAGATTCTAATACTTTCAATCTTAGCAACCTACTATTCAAATTGTTGATTCAAGATGTACAAAACGAAATTTCTATCATTATTCAAAATATGCATGGAATTCAAATTTTAGGTGACAGGCTTGAATAGTTTACATTTTTGAAAAAAAAGTCGTTCTTCACATTGAGGAATTATATTTTAAATCTGACAAGCATTATTTATAATATGCGTGCTGTATATGTTTCAATCATTATATATATAAAAAAGTGCAAATCTCAAATAAATTTCTCAAACTTTTCTCTGTAAGAATAGTAGAATACCCGCTTTTTCAGACATCTCCAGAATTATAATTATAAATCTTTTAAAGTGTGAAATTAGATTCAGATAATATCAATATTTGGGCTAAATTTGTGAACCCAAAAGTTTTGATTTTTTTTTCTTTTTGACATTTGTTATGTAAAAATTTATCTCAAATGAATCCAGGTGATCAAGTGAGGTAGTTATACAATCTATTATTATCATTATAGAGACAACTTACAGAAAAAGCTTTCAATCAAGTACATAAATTGAGGGAAGTGATTTTTCATTTGAAGGCCCAAATGAAAAAAAAAAAAATCATGATTTAATTGAAGCACATGGTAAAATGAGGTTCTTTGGTATCGATATATCAGCAGAAATCGATTGTGAGCTTTTGTTTGCAAAATATAACATAAATTTGGAATCAATTCTTAAATATCTTGATATTGGAAAAACTCATTTGAATATGCACATTTCTAATATTAGCAAAGAACTTTTGGATTCCAAAAGTTGCACACAAATTCGTCCCGATGCTTTTGCAGTTTTGATAAAATATGTCAACAAAACACATTCTATTTTACAAACACTAATTTGCTTAAAATAATTGATATTTTGCATCAATTCTACATTAATCATTCTGATATATTTAATAATGATCCAACAATTAAATCTAAATCGAATCTGCTAACATATTGGTTCTTCAGATCTTATAAATAATAAATTATATTTAGATATTTTTAAATTTATGACGTTGAATAGATATAAGCTTCATAACAATGCTTTCATTTCATTACTAATTGCAAAATCAGAAATGGACTTTTCACGGTAATGAAAACATCCTCGAGATTCAATTATTTGATCCTTATTTGCACCATGGTCTAATAAAAATTTTGCTAATTCGATATCATCATTTTCGACTGCATATCTGAAGGGAGTGTATATTTCATGAGTTGTTGATCCATTAGATAAACAAAGAGCTGTATTTACATCAGCTCCTTTTTCAACAAGAAACTTAGCTAATTCATATTTCTTATTCATTAGAGCTTCGAAAAGAAGGTTAAATGAGTCATAAAAATGCCTAAAAATGAAATCTATTCGATATCCCAAAGAAATTATGCATTCAAAGAATTTTATTGGGTACTCTTCAACTAAGAGAAAATCATATGCATTGGTAAAGGCATTTTGATAAATTTTGTTGATGATTGCAAAAATGAAAACTTGGTAATTCATGTTATAAATATGTGTGATTGTTACAATCTCTTCAAATAATTTAAAATCTTCATCTAAAATTTCTTCTACAATATTGTTTCGATGACAAATTATAGCTGTAAATAAATTTTCGGCTGTGGCGTATTTAACATTGCGTGAAACTATCTTTATTATTTCGTTGTTTCCTCCTTTTATTGCTGATATCATTGTTTTGTTGTTTATGCTTTTAAAATTGTTAAGAAAATGCTTGAAGCATTTGACAGCTCCATATAATGCTGCTCTATTTATTAGATCTTGATTTACCTCAATTTTTCCCTTTTGAATTATTTTTTCAAGATCATCATCCATTAAAATAGAATCAATCTCCCCAAATGATATTGGATGAAAATAAATAAACACATTATAATACGTTGATGTTCTTTTGTAAAATTTTGTTGCAATTTCATAAACTAATAACTCGTTCCTTTGTTTCCATTCTAAGATAACGTAAAACATATTATTGATGAACTCAAGAGTTATTGTGCCATTTGTGTAAAATTGGACTAGTTGATCAACAATTGTGTCGATATCTTTCTTTCTTATTTGATCATTCCAAACTAAGTCTATAATCTGTTGATACTGTTTCAGCTCATCAGGAATAACTATCGAATTAAGAGGGTGAATTCGCCTCCAAAACATTAATCTAAAATGAAAAATTTTATTTATTTTCAAAATTTGAAAGTGAAAGTGTGGTATATTTATAAAAAGTGACAAGACATGGAAATGTTTTGTAAGGTAATTTTTGAATATTAGAGGTTACTTAAGGATTCACTGACCGCTTTCTAGTATGCCATCAAAAATAGGAATACATGTTTGAATATGATACGAAAATAATACTAGTATAAAATGAAATTGTTGTGTATTGTCAAAAATATGAATTACGATAAGATAAACACAACACTACCACTAAGATTCCGCATCAAAGCGAAAGATCTCGAATTTTTTTCAAACATTCAGTTCATGGAATTTTTCTTAAAATTTCAAAATTAAATCTAAAAGTGTAGATTCATCAATGGAAGTCATTTGATAAAGATAACCTTACTTAAATTCTTTTTCTTAAAGTTCGTATATAAATATGTATTCAATGTTTTAAGTCGCAATTCTCTTTCCCTTCAACCTGCTAAGCAAATCTCTCACGCACATCTGCTTCAAGCAGAAAACTATTTTGCTTGTTTGCGAAAGCGTAATATCCTAAAATTACTGAAAAACCATTATCCTTGAAAAATCGCAATCAACCCATATCCAAAATGCTGTAATTAATCATATTCTATCAGATTTCGAATAAAAAACTTCATTTCACTTTCTTTTGATAAAAAATTTTTTTTATAAAATGTCGTGGACTCAATTCATTGATCTTCTTGGTACAAATATCACAAGTGCCGGTATTTTCAGATTTGATGGCGAAAGCCTCGCAGCAACTAAAGATTTTTCAATAACTCCAGAAGAAACAGTTAAATTGCTCGATATGTATAATAAAGGCTCAGCTTTCCTTTCAGAAACATTCACGTTTAAAGGTGTAGAATATTCTATTCTTCGTGCCGACAGTGAAAACATTCAAATGCGTTATCACTCTGCAGGTTTGATGGTTTCTAAATGCAAATCATGCTTTATTTTCGCATACCATACTGATAGAGTTCAGGCTCAAAACTGTTATGAGGCAGTTGTTCATGTTGCAAATATTTTACGTTCTTACGGATATTAAATTCAATTTGTATTTTTTCTCTATCGATATAACTATCATGTTATCAATCTTTACTCCACTTATTAAAAATTGATGTTATTTTTTAAAAAAATTTTGAAGTTTGGATTTTTCATTCTCATATTGAGCGATAAGCAGAAATTCCTTTTTGTTTAGACACAAATAAACAATTTCCTTTTATTTATTCTTTAAATTTTATGACAATTTTTGATTATTTGATGAATTTTCAGTCAGTATAGATAAAAGTATGCGCATTTATCACTTTCTGACATTTTCTTAGTTTTCTAAGAACATAAGTTATTATAAATCCCTATATAAAACATAAATTGACTACTAAACTTTTTTACTATTAAAATAAAGGTATATTTACATTACAAGAGCATGTCAAAAAGAAGTAAATCCATCCTAAAGTCTTCTCTCCGATGAGAGCTCATGAATGGTCAAAAACATCTTTAATTGACTCCATACTATGGGATAAAAATGCCTTACATATGAGCATTTAAAAGATCTCAAGTTGTATTTTTATGGATTTTTTTTCATGTTCAGAGCACAAAAAATCACCCCTAAGTGAATGAATGTGATATGAAAGCCGAGAAAGAGTTCAGTCAGAATGAATCCCTATTTGTGCACTTTCAACATTCTGATAAAAAAAAGTCAAAAAGAGGAATTTAAATATAAAGAGAGGCACAAGAAAATAATAATAAAAAAAAATTAGTAAAAAATAAAAATAAAAAAACTGATTTTATTAAAGAGAAAATATTCTGTACTTAATTTAACTTAGAGAACCTCGATGAAAGGAATCTTAGCATCTGTTGTGACACCGCAGTTGTATTCCTGATTCTCAGCCTGGATGTAGATGTATCCTTCGTTGCCCCAATGAGTGGACCACGAGTTCTTGATTTCCCAGCACTCGATGCCGTCGACAATCTTCCAACCTGTAAGAAGAACCTCGTGGACTAAGTCGTCAGCGGCTCCTGTGCATGTTGGGTCGTTGACAGCTCCCTTTGTGTAGAATGACATCGATTCGATAACGTTGATACCGATAGAAGCAGGGCCGTACTGGTAGAGAGCTTCCTTGAGAGCTTGCGTGGACTTATCAATTGCGATGCAATCGACAACGCGAGCGACAGGGTGCTCTGGATTTCTGTTGCAGTAACCAGCAACGCCGATGTATGGATAGTCTTTTTCAAGGAATAACTTGAAGTTCTGGTTGATGAGGGAACGGAATGCTGGGCCAGCTTCGCCGCCGCCGCAAGCACTGTTGTTGTAATCCCATGTGCAGTCCATGATCTGGTTGACTGATAATTCGCGGAAAACGCCGGTCTTCAGGGCAAGTTGGGATTCAAGAGATTCGGCTGTGCCAAATGCCCAGCAGGAACCGCAGGCAACTTGGTCACGTGGTTTGCCGACAACGTTTGGAACATCGCGCCATGAGAACTCGGCTGGAAGGTCCTTTAAGCCTTTGGCTGTATATTTACGGCAGATTGTCTCGTCTTCGTTGGAAATTGTAAGACGGCGGCCACCGAGTCTGTTAACGAACTTTGAACGCTTCTCCTGGAATTTGTTTTGGTGAACGCGATGTTCGACTTGTTTAACAGCTTGGAAGCCGTTGTCGCCATGGCCTGGATATGGATCGTTGATGAGATTGCCGTTGCAGATATCTGGGAAGTTCCAGGCTCCTGGAAGTGAATCAGGCTGGAAATCGTCGATATCAAGAATGTAAATGTCATAGTGAGAATGATATAAGGAAACGGCGTGTGCAATGTATGAGACTGGATATCCTGTAGCTGGATCAATGTAAATGTCCCAGGTCTGTAATTTTGGTGTAGAAACATTCTTTTCCCAAACTTCGCAAACTCTTCCGCGGTGCTGGCGCATGCCAACTTTCTTGTAGCCATCTGGCTTTGGAAGGAATTCATTTAATTCAAGATCCCATTCGCCACCATCTTCTGGTTGGTGATCGTAGCAAATCATTTTGTCATCTGATGCGACAACCTTGCGGTAAATGCGCTCTTCACCTGTGGAAACCCAAATCTGTTCTAAGCCGTTGTACTTGCTTGTATATGTTCGTGATGGTTCGACTGAAATAATAATTGGGTTGGACAAATTCGTGTATGGAACATTCCATGAACCACGGATTGTGTACCTGGCTGGGAATTGCTTAAATGCAATTCCCCTGGAAAGGAATAAGCTGAACATATTTTTGGTGCAACCGCTCCTTTCAAATTTCAAAAGGAATTTCAAACCCAGGGGAATCATTCCACTCTCAAAAATTAGTTGGTTTCGACATTCAGCGACCAATATTGTCTGTATGATATATGCATTTCCCAACTTTTATAAAAAGCCTACCGTTTGCCGTGAATTTATCCCTGCTGTCCGCCGCGTTTTTTTTTTGTACGTTAAAAATCGTACGTTACTTTAATTCGCTCGGCGTAAGCCGAGCATGTGTATTTCAAAACTATTCTTTCACAATAAATAATCTCGCTTGCTACTTTACCTGTCGCACAGTTTATTCAAATTTAACTTATCATTATTATTAGTATTCACATAAAGCTTTATCAATTTCAATATTAGCATGAAGTATCATTCGAAGTAAGCAATCAACCGAATCTATAGCATAGTAGGGTAAGATTGTTCCAATGTTACGTATTTATTAATTTACATTAGAATAACTTTACCTTACTATGTATAGAACATACAATTATTTGTCCATTATGGATCAAAGAATGCGAGTGTACTACCCACACTTAAAATTCTTCTATTGCTTCTCAATCAATGAGTGGCTACAGAAGAACTTTGAGCATTTCGGCCAAATTTACAATTATAGTTACCAGAAGCTTTTAAATACGTCATTAGAGATAAAACTTTCGAAGTCCTACATTCAATGCAGTACTTCCAAAGTTCTTCTATCCAGTATTAGATAATGTCTCTGAAGCGTGCTTCTTATAAGGAAAGCTATTAATTTTTGTTTCGTCGAATAAATAGTAATATTTATTTTTTATCCGATTTTTTTTTCAAAATATCGCGATATGAGTGTATCTTTATCATATCCTAATGTTCTATATTAACATATTATCATTTCTTCTCACTCAACTAAAAAAAGTTTTAATGCTTAGATCTATCCATAGGGTATGATAATATATGAGAGCAAAAAAAAAATTCACGGATGAAATATTTGAGAGAAAAAACGTAAAAAATCTCCCGTTACGGGAGATTTCTCTCAAATTTGCGGAGAAAAAGTGACGCCGTCGCGGGAGACTACTCACAATTCACGGATTAACACGGATTGACGATAGGTTATTGGCGTGAAGCGCCAATTGTTGAATAAAAAACCAAATCTCCTTAAAACAAGAAAAATAGACTCTTTTTCAAAAAAGGAATATAAATGCTCGTTTAATCATCCTCAAAAAATTCCAAAAAAATTGCAAAATTCAAAATTCGTTAATAAAAACTACATTTTTTTCTCAACCGTAATCATCCACAACGACGGAATCCGACGGCTCCCGTTGGGAAATACATAGTATGATATTATCCATAGCTTACATTATCTATATTTCCAATATTAAATCTAAAAAATATAAATTTTTCAAACACTCCGAAATTCGTTCTATAACATCCCACTATACTATGTTTTAAAAATCTTCTTGAGATCATTCTAATTATTTTCATTTTGTATAATTTCGTCAATTTCATACCCTTCACTCATTTGGACATTATAAAATTAAGCTTCTTATCGATTAGTTTAGATGTGTAGTTCAGAAAAATTAGAAAATGTTTTTATATGTTGATTGAATATCTTATGCAAAAGTTTCGCAACGGCATTAAAAATGATGCAGTTTCATTCTATATATGATTACAGACTTGGGACATTAACATTATTTCTTTGAACTTTTATCTTTGACATACTTCTCTGGAAATAAGTTGTCTTTGCAAAATCCAATCATTTTCATCTATCTAGTGATGATATTACACGTAAAACTTTGACTTTAGCACTAATCTATTTCTTAAGAAGCTCGAGGACAGTTGTACGAAGCGAATTGAATCCTCATTAAAGTGCTGTTCTGTCATACTGTTATAAATTTCAACGACAGCTTTTCCATGACATGAAAGATCACTATGGAACCAAATGAACATATACTTGTATAATAAGGCTTCTTATATTGGCACATTAAAATAATATATTTAATGAATAATCATACAATAAAATGTTTTGATTTATTCTTTTAAACACCTGGGCCATTCTTAATTTTCATAAAAATAGGAGGGGTAAGTGTTCAAATTCCGTCACGTTGTTGTTATATTACTATTCTATGGAAAAAGATGGAAAGCAATTTCTTTTATATGTTTTTTATTTTTCTTTTAAGCATTTTAAAATGTTATAGGGACTTTCTGGCTTTTTGCCTGCTTTTCCAAATATTCCTCACAATGTTGGATCAATTTTACACAATATTTTTGGAGTAAACGATTGTATTTTAACAAGCGTTCAGTGTTTTCTTTTTCATCAATTTGGCGTCGTACTAACTCTAATGAATCTTTGGCCAAAAGTTTCAGCAAGTTTCTTAAACGATTTAGTGGAAAATCGTTTGAAATGAAGTAGTCTATATATTCCTGTTCATTGTATGATCTAGAAATAGCAATTTTGCCCCATTTATTTAAGCGATCGATGTAATCATAATCATAATATATTGCTCCGTATGGTGTTGCCGAAGATTTTTCTTTTTCAAAAATTATACGATCAGCTTTCATTTTCATCGACAATCCATCTTGTCCATAATGAAGTAATCCATCTTCTATCTTTGGTTGCCTAAAAAACTGTCCATGAGTATAGGTAGACTTTTCGTGACCATATAGATATGGCGTATTGCCTTTTTGAATACAAAATTTAACTAATGCTACATAATCTTCATCACAATAGTTGTATAATTTATTCCATTTTTTAGCGTCAATTATATCCATTGGAAATGGTAATATTGAAACACTTATGTATCCACTTGATGAATTACCATGTTCAAAGACGTTATCTTTGACGTATTCGAATAATTTAATCATGGATGGGTCGTTGTTGAATGAAGAATTAATGTAATTCACCTCAAGAGCATTTTCGTGATATTCAAACGATGACCCCACAATATTGATCAATAAAAGAAATTCCATTATAAAGATTTTAAAATGTGAAATGACAAAGTCAATAAAACCATTCAAAATTTTGTACAAGGTAATAAATTTATAACAACTGGGGATATGACATTTATAAATATTTGTTAAATAAGTTTATTCATCACTGAGAGCTAGATGGATATACTTCACTTAATTGTGCATCATAATTTATTTAAATATAGCCTTGTCAATTAAGTTATGGATAGTGAAGTATATATATAAAGCTTAGTCCATGAATAGATAACCTTGTCAATGGATTATGCTGATGTCCATGGACTTGCCTATTTATTTCGACATTCTACAAGAAGAAATTTGATGCATAAACTCAATGGAGTATATAATTATGATGTTTGAATGAGAATAAAGCTAAAAATCAATAAATAATTCTAATAAATAGATGCATAGACTTAAAAATACAAACAAATTTTGATTCCATTAATTTATTCTAAGTTAAAAAAGTATAAGAACTAAATTTTACCATCAAAAATATGGCTTCATTATCTAGCTTCCGGGGTATTTTGAACAAAATTCGTTTGAGAAAATTATGAAGAAATAGCTTGTAAAAATATATATCACAGAAACATAATATTGAATTGGTACTTGGGCAGCTTTATATCATTCATGATGTCTCCTCAAACTATAAATATCACGATTGATTTGAACGAGTAAAATTCGTCACTTTTTGCATATAAATTTTGAATGAATCTTGATGATTTTTCGCCAGATTCAATTTCAAAATATATAGATGAAGGGGGAGATGTAAATACTAGTATACAAGATGACGAAGTTCTCGCTATAACTTGCATTAAACAAGGTAATCTTGAATCAGTTAAATTGCTTCTTGCTGCAGGGTGTTTGACTAATGGATTATTACATGCCGCAATTTTGAATGATAAGTTAAGAATTTTTACTACTCTTCTTAAAAATGATATTGACATTGACGAAAAGGATGCAAATGGTGATACACCAGTGCTCCTTGCTATCAAAACGAACAAATTCTCATATTTATTCGAATTAATAGACAAAGACGCAGATTTATCTTGTCCAGACGCTGAAGGCTTCACGCCATTATATTACGCTGTTAAATCAAAAAATATCGATGTCACCCAACTTCTTCTTCTCAACCACGCGCCAGCTAGTTCTCTAGAATTTGAGAAATCTCCACTTTATCATGCAATTCTCGAAAAAGATATGATTATGATTGATCTACTTCTTACATATGGAGCTTGTCCATCTCAAGAGAACGAGGAGCATGAATCGTTCTTATCTCTCGCAATAAAAGTAAATTCGCCAGACATTTTTAAGATTTTAATGTCTGTTGGAGCTACAGCAACAAATATTTCTCAAGAAACATTACAAGAACCTTACTTATCCATATTTTTAGACAACTCTGTACCTCCAGATATTGAAAACGTTCAATCTCAAGACTTTGACTGCACAATCAAGAACCTAAAAGAAGATTTCATATCAATGAAAGAAAAATTAGAGGCCGCGGCTGAAAAATACGCAAATTTCGATTTTAAGACAAATCTTATTTCTCCGATTATCAACAACCAAAACGCCATGGTTTCTACTTTAACACGCTTCATCAAGCGCATCGATACCCACTCCAAAATGCTCTATAGGAAGCGAGTTTTCCTAATAAATTCACAAATGGAGTCTTTAACTTACTTAGAAGGCACGAAAATATCTAAAACGTTCGATTCAGATGAACTAGAATGGATGAATATGCTTACCAGCCTCCGCGACAAGATGAATGATGGTTCTTTATTTTCAGATGAAATTCTTAAAGGAAAAATCGAAAAAATGCTTCATTGCGAGGACGAAACATCAAATGTAGTACGTGTAACGAAGCGATTGAACAAAGAAAACCTTAGAAAAGACCGAAGCCAACTTGTTTTTTGCAACCAAGTTTTACTAAAATTACTGGAATTGATCAGAGATATAACAGAGACGTATCAAATGACCAAGCCAGTGATATCAGGAACATTTAACTTGGCAATGAAGACCATGGAAATGCTTCTGAACATGGTAAACGGAATTAGACAGATAAATCTGAATGTTGCCTCAATTGATTCGAAAGCAGAAAGGGACTGCAAGATGGAAGAGGCCTTCTCTGTTGCTTACGAGAAATTGCAGACAGATATCTCTTTCCTGACTTATCATATCAATCAGTTTGAAGATATTTCAATTCTGACAGAGCGTTGTATCAGAATGTGTATTCAATAAAATATTTTTATAGAAAGTATTTTAACAAACAATTTTTTTTTACAATATTTCAGGATATTTTTCGTGAGGAAAGATCAACTAAAGCAGATCTTAAATACAATACTGGCATATAAGAAAATTTTCATATTGTTAACTCTTTATTATTCATTTTTGTTGAACAAATGATCGCTAAATCTTCGAACATTTCCTTTTAAATCAAGATGTATCTTGAAATTATGCTATCTATCGTTATTACTTATTAGACAGCTCATAAATAATTCGATATGATATATTTTTATCGTTTTGATATTTTAATAAATATCATATTTCATTTTGAAGCATTTTGAACTAACAAACTCATGGAATATTGGAAGGCAACACTCAGAATTTGGCTTATTCCATATGAGATTATTTTATTGTTTTACAATTTTTCAAATTTATACGGACTTACCAGAATGTAAACTTTAAAATTTGTTTAAATAAGCTTTTACAAACAGAAAATTGATCGAAATAGCTATTATATAAAGTTATTTTTGAATTGGAGCAAGATCCGTATTCGGATTCTCAAGAACAGCTACGACAGTTCCAACTTCCTCTATTGGATATTTCTTAGTTAATTTCTCTATTTGCATTAGCTTACTGAGATAAAAATCACGCTCTTGTGCATGGAGTTCAATCTCTTGCTTCATTGTATTTTGCTGTAATATTCTATTCTGTAATTCTTTTTCGACATCATCGAACAATGACTCAACGTTTTCAAATTCATCTTTGTCTTCTTCTTCAATATCATATTCAAGTACTTCTTCCTGAATACCACTTTGCTGGTCAACAATTTTTCTGATAGCGTTTAACAATTGTAGTATTTCATTTTCATCGCCTTCTGTAATCTTTCTAATATCGTATGGAAAGCTTACTCCAACTTCGCGCATTATCTTTCGTATAGTTTGAAAATTGAAAGTTCTGTCTAGTTGTGTTTGTCCTATTTTAATTTCACTGATATGTTCATTCAAATTTGTTGAACGAATTAAGAGATCAGCGATTTCTTTTCCAGACCTTGATTCACTAAGTGTTTTGAAGTTAGATCCAGTCTCATCATTTAACCATTTTAATGCTGTACCAATATCCATGTTGAACCCAAAAATTGCCGTTTAATTTTACAACCTGAACTTTGAAATAAAGGGGTCAGAGAAAAATATTTGGGGAGAGATAATTGAATGTATCTTTAATAACGTTTTAATTGAAACCCAAAATGATTAAAAAAATAAATCGAATGTAACGCATGAAATTGAACAATGTATGTAAAATACAAACCTTTGAATTTTTTATACTTTGAGATATCACATTGAAAATTTTGATTATTAACAAACAAAATGTTTGTTTATGGTTTCCAAAGAGTCAAGCTTGACAGTAAAAATCCAGCAATTCTATGCCGAAGATCTCTGGATGACAAATTTACTGCATGCTTGACTTCCAAGGAGCTTAGAATACTAAATTCTATAACATTATCGGATAAACCATTAGCAACTTTCAGGCTTCCCGACGAAAAATTCAAAGAATACGGTGATTTTACAACTTTTGAGTGGACATCTAATAGATCTATAATGGCATTAACAAAGAATCATGTAGTTTCCATTCTTTCAATTAATGAATACGGTACATTCGTCAATTCAAGCTTTGTATCCATCAATGGTGAGATTACAGCATGCTGTGCGGTCGACGACCATATTGCAGTTGCTCTCGCCGGTCCAGTTATTCAAACAATTACACTAACCGGTGATGTTGTAGGCGAGTACAACATACAATCAGACGATGGCGCTGCCATAAACTGTCTCAAAATTGTCGACGAAGTTGCTTTAATGTCATTTGAGAATGGTAAATTTGCTACAGCCCAAATTCACTTTGGTGGAGTTTTTGAAAGCCGCTCAATTAAAGTTAATTATACGATGTTTAATAATACAAAGGAATTCATCGTTTCTCCTGATTCAATGGCTCTCTCAATCCTTCATAGTAACGGAGTTTTATCTTTCATTACAAACTTAACACCTTCGACTCCAGAGATTAAACTTGTGAAAAACTGTATACGTAGCGTCTGGAGTTCGAGAGGTTCTTACCTTTTTGCTTTATCTCATGAAGGAGATATAATTATTATAAATTATAAGAATAGAAGCAAAACGAAGACAAAATTAGAATTAGATTTCGATCCAAATTCATGTACAGCATTTGAATTTTCTTGGGATTATTCCCAATTAATTTTATCTTTTCCAACCGAGTTAATTTTTGTTGATATTGCAATGACAGACTTATATTCACCATCACTTGTGTTCCACACCAGCCAAAAGGTCATTTTTGGTTGCGAAAAGTCTGTTATCGAAGGTCCCAAAGAATTACTTTCACGCGGCTTCACAATCAAGTATGCCGCCGCATCACCAGACTACAATTACATTGTTATAGCAGGAAAGCGAGGTTTCGCGTATTATTCAGCCGAAAAAGATAAATGGGTTTTTAGCGCTGACAGATTGAATTCCTGTCAGAGCATCTGGTTCCAAGAAGGATATTTTGTTGCGATAGCCCAAGAAGAGACAGATAACTCATGGAAATTATTATTGTTATCTCCTGACCTTATTACGATAGTTCATACAGTCAATCTTGATTCTCCGGCTGTATTTGTTAATCATGTTGAGTCAAAACTAGTTTTAGGAACCAAAAAGTCGATAGAATTATATTTTATTCACAAACAGAAGATTAATCTAGTAGAAAAGCACAATCTCGCATGTAGACTATCCAATGGTGCTCTTTATGATTTTTCCAATGGAATTTTGACTCTAATTGATGGAAAATTAACAGTTTTATGTTCAGATGAGAAAATTGCTGACAATGTGATTACTATTTTCACAACCCAGCAATCTCCTATTATTTTCATCCTAACAGAAGATAATTCTTATGTTTATGTTCACAAACGATTAATAACTTTGAAAAAGAAATTCGTCTGTGAAATGATTGTCGGTGTTTGCGCTTTCAGTTTGGCTAGTAGATACAAAGTAGGCGAACTTAAGCTCAAAAGACATCCATTCCTTGCAAATATACTCATGGAATTCCTTGATGAGCCTCAAAAACTTTATTCTATCTCGATGACCTTCCTTTCTGATGCTTTTTCACTTGTTGAGTTCGTAAAAGTGATACAAGCGTACTTCGATACAGGAAAGACAGACAAAATGAAAGCTTTGATGGCCAGGTTCGACACTTCTAAGTCTCATTTGCTTTTGGCAGCTTTACTTCTACTTCCTGAGAAATATCAGCCCGAAATAGTTAAAATGATGCCAAACTACGACATGCTGATAAAGAAATTCCCTCAGTACGGAGAGCAGTTGAACGAAATATATCAACAAAAATAATTTATTTAATTTTATTTTATATTTATTTTTTATATATATGTATGTTGTTTTAAATATGTTTGTTTTAGTTACTAACACTCCATTTTTCTTTTCCTATCTTCTGTTCTCAATATAAAATAGAGTTTCATATTTACATTTTTGATTGAGGATGATTTATGTTTATATTTCATAACTTTATTAGTTTCAATGGATAGATTTAATGAATTTAATAGATAAATGGAATCCAATTATGAACATTAAATTGAATATCAAAAAATTCATGATAAGTTGAGAGTTTAACAATGGATTACCTAATCATTTGCTAATAAAATAGAAAGACATATGGAATCTAATTAGTAGAGATCGGATCTTTCTTTCGAATTTAGGATTTTTGAAAATTATTTAATATTACTAAGATATTTTAGGCTTTGTATATGACATGAAACTTTCCAAACAGTTTTTTACTTAGAAAATTCATAATTTTAAAATTTAACTAAACAAATAAATAAAATTTACAAATTAAAAATAAATATACAGATATATAGCTCACATATGCGTTATTGGAGGTGATCTAACCAATACACCTGAAGGAGAAGTGTATGTAAACGAAGATGAGTTGTCAAGAACGAATTTAATTGGAGGAAGTTTGACCAAACCTTCTCTTACAGGTATTGCAGAGAAATTAATAGTTATTGGGTAACCAAGTTCCGCTGAATAATGGATTGGTTCCGTATTAACTGTTCCTACGTCTTCTGTGTTGACACATTGGGCCGTAAACGTCAAATTATCAGTTGAAACATTGATAATTTCGATCTCAAAGTCAAATTGAGTGTTTACAAACACATCTTTCGGACATGATTTGACAGATATCATTAAATAGTCTGGAATTGTCTGGTATTCATCAACAGCTGGCTCTTCTTGGATTTCTGAAGAGTATTCCTTGCTTTCATCAACTTTCCAGAAAATTTTAATTTTTCCAAATTTCTTTGTTTGGGCTTCTGCTGGGGTTCCTGATATAGGGATCATCTTCCTCATTGTGACAAGAGATTTGATAGAGTTAGCAAACAATGCTTTAGGGAAATATTTTGGAGTTGTCGAATTTGCTGTAAAAGTATATGAAATATCAGTAATATCAAACGGCATAAGGTTTGTAACTGCTAATTCTAGCATGTAATCGAACTTTGATATATGTCTGACCTTCGATGAAACGTAAAATGGAAGAACAGACTCCAAACCAAACCTTTTAGAGATATTTATCTTCCTCATATCGACGTACGTAGATCCTTTAAGATTGAATTGCACAAATCCATCTGAATTGGAGTTCAAAACTATTGGAAATGTGAGATTGTTTGCTCCTGTTAGTTCAAAGAACTGAATTTTGAGTTCTTTTTGATCTACAGCTTGTGATGATAGTTCGTGTATTGAAACATTAGATTGAGAATCGACAAAAATTGATAAATCAAATGAAGCTATTGTACAAGTTGGATTTTTAACGAGATAAAACAGTAAAATACATGGAATACTAGCATATGCTCTGGTTTCAAGACGTTTGACCGGAATTTTCATTGCTTTTAACGTTAATGAATCATTTTTTACGAAATTTTCAACAGATATTTGCTCTGTAGTTACTTTGACGCTTGGATTTTTATGTGGGAGAATAAAAACATATATTGATAAATTCTTATCAAGCGTAATCTCAACAAAAGTATTCGACATTATTTCCAAAAAAGTGACAGTTTTAAAAAATATGTCACAGACTTCTAATGTAAATATTAATGTAACAGAAGTCTATTCAAGCGAGGAGATGGAGCAAGTCAAGAAAAGTCTTACTGGCCTTGAAGGATTTAATTATGGCTTAAGACAAAAGCAAGCATTTTCACTTCTGGAAGAAGGGCTCAAAAAACATAATGAAAGCTATAAACGAAAAGTACCCGGATTTGAATGTTATATTCACGAATACAAAACAGATCCATTTGCAGATGTAAAAGTTGATGATTGCGATTTTATCTTCTAAGTAGGCAATTAGTTACCCATTTATATAATTCTCGAAACATATACAAATTAAGTACTATCCATTGATTTGTACATTCTTTTTTTGTTAATAAATAATAAAACTTCCTTTTTAGAACATAAATACCAATCACTTATACTAAAATTCAACTTTTTACTGATGTTTGTACAATTCAGAATATATTTTAAATCATGTTTAAAATAAATTTCAAATTAAATGAAAAAGAGCCAGCTAAAATCTATATAATGTCATATAATGTCATATCCTAACCTACACTGAACAAATACGAACTTCAATCATTATTTATCTTATTAAAAATCAAAGATATCATTTTGACAAGGATAATATTTTTATAGAAAGATGAAATCTTATCTTCTATTCATTTTTGCAAAGATAATCATTTCAAATTATAATACGCACACACCATCTAAGTTTTTGAAAATTTTATGGCGTCAAAAATTTTCTCACTGGGTTTTCGTCTATCAATCCCAGCTCATTATATACGCAACCAATCAAAAATCTGATATGGGAGTCCAAGGCTAACTTTTTGTTGTCTACCTAATAAAAGAGGAAGCAGCATTAGTGAGAATAATCGCAAATATTCAATTTAAATTATCTTTTTATTCTTAATTTAAAGTGACAAAAAGAATAAAAAACCTATTCTAAGGCATGTTGTTATGTAAATGAGACTAGACATCATATTTTATGTTATGAAAAAAAAATATTTAGAATTTTAGAACAAAATAAATAGAAAAAATAGCATAACTTATGGATGTGCGTATATTAAATTTAATAAATTAAGAGAAATTATTTTTGGCGCCAAAATTATTCGTTAACTCTCAAATTTTTCTGAGTCAATAAGCCGCCAAAAAAGTGTCATTTTGTTTCGTTAGAGAAAGATGAATTGTCCATGTCATCCAATCGGGAACAAGGGGGATGGGGATTAGATGATAAAGAAGCAATTCATGCTCTCTATCTGAAGCAATCAGACTTACCAGCAACAATGTGAATCGATTTGGCTTTAAAGTTAATATAGCAGATCAGCTTGTTACTGGAGAGACTAGGCATTACGATTGATTCGCTGTAGTGCTCTACTTTAATTTAAGAGTAGTAACGGATAACTGAATTCCCAAAGTTCTTTAGGTGATCCAAAACACTGTAGCTGCTTGAACTTTGGACGAGCCTCGCACCCCAGAGAATAGAAATCCCAATCTTGCTCATGTTTAGTTGAATTAGTCTGCAGCAGTACAGCTCTGATACCACAAGATCGTGATGTATACAAAGTCACAACGCTATTTGATTCAACAACTAGCTAGTTTTGACATCAAATTGCAAAATTTGACTTCGTTATGAGCTCTTTGTAGCAAAAATACATTACACTTAAAGACTAGTTGCTAGACTGTAGTAGTTTGTTCGTATATATCTATTTTTCCCCAACGTATTGCATACTACATTTTGACAAGACTTGCAACCTTATAGTAACCTCGTTGGGAATTGTTCAAGCAAAGCGTAGGTAGTTAAGGTCGAGTAAGAGTTCTTCTTAAATCTTTCACTGAATGAGTAGGTGTTGGAAGAACTGTTCTCTAAAGCGATACAGTTGCGCTACATGTTCGTCAACTTGTCTAGAAATAAATATATCATTTGTTTTATACGTTTTTTCGTAATAAATCTTTTTTTATTTGTTGTATTTGAGTATGAAGATAACAAAAACTACGGCATAAGACGCAGTACACTGGGCTTCGTTGCCATTTTATTTACCATGTTAAGAACTTAAACAGACATGCTTTGTTTTCGACGAAGCCATCTAAAATAACGTACATCTAAATAAAACTAAAAAACTGTAAAATTTCTTTATTTGATAGTATACTTCAAATTATGCACTATACCTTCTAGAATTCTATAACACTCTTTGCATATAATTTTTTAAAAAAAAGTTATATCTCGACAAAAATATGATTTATCAATAGAGTATGTAAAATAAAACTCATTCGCAGTATTAAAAAATCGTAAATCTTTCCAAAAAAATTTTGAATTACAAATTTTAAAAGTTAAAACAATATTTTTTGAAGCGAAAAAAACGAAATCTAATTTTTTGGAAAATTTAGAATAAATAGAGCTCTTTAACTCGTCGAATGCAAATTGTTTTCAAGTTTTTTTCGACCGGAAATTGAACTTTTAGAGTTTATACAATAAGATTCACATGAAAAAATACGGTTTAACAAAGAAATCACCAATATAAAGGTTTTTTAGTAGAACGAGATTGATAAAAACTATGGTATGATAAAAAGACGATATTTTTTTGGCGGGATAATTGAAGAATATGAATGATTCGAATTACAGACATACTCTAGTCCGAAACTTACTATGGTTCGTGACTTATTTTTGACACAGAATAGCTGTAGACTAAGGCTTACTCTAGATCCAGACTTATTATACAATTAAATTTGCTTTTGGAATAAGACTTAATTTTAGTTACAAACTTATCTTAATATCAGACTTATATTTAGAATCAGACTTACTTTAGTCTAGAACTTACATTAGAATCAGACTTCCATTTCAAGTCAGACTTACTTTCGTCCGAGACTTACATTTCAAGTCAGACTTACTTTCGTCCGAGACTTACATTCAAGTCAGACTTACTTTCGTCCGAGACTTACATTTCAAGTCAGACTTACTTTCGTCCGAGACTTACATTTTAAGTCATACTTACATTAATATCAAACTTATATTAACCTACGACTTACTTTTATTCCCAGACATCTTGATCCACACTGACATTGAAAACCACTCATACATCTAAAGCCACTCAAACATCTAGATCCACTACGACATGGAAATCCACTCAAACATAATTTTTGCTCTCTAACTACATTTTTATATATTTTACAACCTAAATTTTCTCTTTACCTAAAGATTATTCGCAATATCTGAATATCATTAATTAATTGAGATATTCAAGTTTTGACAGCGGATTTGGAAAGCAGACTTGATGGAGATTTTAAATCTGATGTCAAATCTTGTTTTGTGCATTATTGGAAGAGAAAAAAAGGTGTTAATTGCAAATCTTAAATATAGGTTTTTACGAAAAATGTAATTAGGGTTAGAATCATAGAAAGATATATCTGTCAGACATTGTTATGTGTGACAGATAATATTGCATCTCATAGACACTGTTGCATCTGTCAGACACTGTTAAATTTCATAGACACTGTTGCATCTCATACACACTGTTGCATCTGTCAGACACTGTTGCATCTGTCAGACACTGTTGCATCTGTCAGACACTGTTGCATCTCATAGACACTGTTGCATCTGTCAGACACTGTTGCATCTCATAGACACTGTTGTATCTCATAGACACTGTTGTATCTCATAGACACTGTTGCATCTCATAGACACTGTTGCATCTCATAGACACTGTTGCATCTCATAGACACTGTTGCATCTCATAGACACTGTTGCATCTCATAGACACTGTTGCATCTTTCAGACACTGTTGCATCTCATACACACTATTGCATCTGTCAGACACTGTTGCATCTCATAGACACTGTTGCATCTCATAGACACTGTTGCATCTGTCAGACACTGTTTTATCTCTCGGACACTATTACATTATCTTACTCTATTTCTAATTTTAAATATTTTTCTTTTTTGTTTTCATTATTAAATTTATTTTATAAAAATTATTTCTCTTACTTAAATTTTAAATTTCTTCTTAGTTTAATCCTAAAATTCGTTTACTTTTAAAATTGACATTCCGTTTAATGGCCATGGCTCCTTTTGATTATGGATGTATTATTGATCTAAATAAAATCAATAGTACTATTCTTAAGATAATAAATTATTCAAAATATCTCGTTCAGAATAATATAGACCTCGATTTAGAAGATCCAGAATTTAATGATATTCAGGCTGAATGTAAGCGCATTCGTACATGTGATGCTTATAACTACATTACCCTTTTTGTAATACATAACTTAAATTTCGCACCGGCGGTCAATGAAATACTGGACAATTTAGAATTTTACCCTACACCAAATGAATACTTAACTTCAATAGCAGACGAATATAGCAAGGATATGGGTGATGAAGAAGAATATAACTATATTCATGTTTTTCCACAAACATTGAAGGATTTTCTAATTGATACTTTGTTAATGGATGATCTTGACGCTTTTTTATCCAAACTATTTGGTCGCAATATTGGAACAACCATTTTTGGTGATAGAATTAGCATATGCTTTCAATGCAAACAATATCCTTGAATATTTATGTGCAAATACTGAAAAACTATCAAACTTTGACGATAACCAAAAATTTATATATAATGTTCAATGCGGAAAAAAATATTATGTCAATATCCTCAATGTCAAAAAATCATTGATCGCTGGTTTTGAACTGAATTTACTTAAATCCAAGAAAATTCGTATAAGTTCATTCGCATTTGAATGCTATTTAAAATATCAAAATTTTGCGGAAATTATATCTTACATTAATTCATATAAACCAGATGATATTGTTCGATCGAAAGGATTCATGAAGTCTGTTGTCAGGCACGCAGCTAGATTAAAAAATATGGCTGTATTTTTTCAATATGTATCTAAAGATCTTATTGACGATGACAAAGAGCAATTTGTTTCATATATTCTTGATTCACAGGCAGATTTCATTTTCAATGTATATAATCGCATTGCAAGTGGCTATTATTTATCAAAACGCATGATTAATGAAATTCCCCGCGGATATAATGTTCTTAAAATTGCAAACATTGAAGTAATGCATAATTATGACAAAGAATCACGCCAAGTAACTTGGAATATTGGTGCCTCAGATATATGGAATTTCAGTGAGATTCATGAACTCTTTAATTATCTTCCTTTTTTCCTTAAAATAGTTCCATTTAAGGAACAAGAAAATCCTCCCAAATACACAGACTTCTATTTTAAAGACACTGATCCTAGTGATCGTTTAATTCTAGAACTTGATTTTGATCGAAAATA